AGAATGCGTAACACTTATGTGATCCACTATTTTGTCATATATATATTAGATCTAGATGTCATGATTAGATCTAAATCTAGATCAATACGACAATAGAGATGATATCTAGATCTGGATCTATGTCTATATAATTATTATAATCTACTCTAGATCTCGGCTCAAAAGTGTTACCGATGTTACTCCAAACTTTCGTAGGCCTACCTTCATCCTTGATCTATTCTATACTAAGAATCTAGACTAGACTGTAGTAGATGTTATCGATCTAGATCTAGTCAATCTAAATTCTAAATCATACTATTACTTAATTGGATCTTGATTGTAGAGTAATCATATGAAGAGAGAGAATCATAACGGAATGACTATCTAGACTCTAGCTAGATCTATTCCTGTATAACAAGTTATCTAGATCTAGACTAGATATCTACACTGTCACTCAATGTGTTTTGAATCGATAGCACTTCAATATTTTTTTTCTATACAAATGAATACAGGAATCAGGGATTTTTAAATTTTTTTTTACATTCGACTTTTTTTTTAATGCACCAACATAGTTAAATATAAGGTCTAGATGTCATTATTACATCTACAATCTAAATCTAGATCAATAGGACAATAGAGATGATATCTAGACTAGATCTGGATCTATGTCTTTATAATGAATATAATCTACTCTAGATCTGGGCTTAAGAGTGTTACAGATGCCGTGGATCCGCTACAAATGTAGGTCTACTCCAAACTTTCGTATGTCTACCTTCATCCTTGATCTATTCTATACCAAGACTAAGAATCTAGTCTAGATCTAGACTTTTTTTTCTATACAAATGAATATGGGAATCAGGGATTCAACATAATGAACTTACAAAAACAAAAGTCACGTTGGTGTATCGGCGGTACCAACCCGCCACTCCCTCACTCTCGCGTTCTTCATTTCTAGACTAAATCTAATTGCTATTAAGAACCAATCAACGTATAGTGTTGTGTTCCCCCACCTTTTCTGTCCTCCCCCCCCCCCCCCCCCTCCCAACAGGACAGCTTAGCATGACCGCTCGTTAGCTAGTCAAGAGTGAAAAAAAGGATACGAAATGCGTAATGCAACGGGTTAAATGCATATTTGTGTACTGACGGTCATTTTTGGGGGATTTTGCGTAACGGTAGGCAGGTCTGCTTATTGCTATTACGAACCAATCAACATATAGATCTGGACACAATTTGTTCCGCCACCATTTTTTGTCCCTTTTTGTAAAAATTATTACAGGTCAACAAATCTGTGTTAAACTGTCACGAGTAAATTTAGAATCTATAGATCTAGTAATTGCAGATCTCTAGTCCCTCAGTCTAAGAGTCAAGATCTACCTAACTAATGCTACATTAATTTATATTAATTTATATTAATTTCTAATACTATATCTAAAGTAATAGAGATCTAGTCTAGAATGTAGATTTAGATCAAGATACAAGAAAAGATTCTAGATCTAGACTAGTCATTGCACTTCTACATTACTGTAGTTATTCTAGATCTATCTGGACTGTTTTCAATTCAAAGAAAAATGTCGCACTTTAATTTAGAGCTAGATCACTAGTGAAAAAATAGTGGCATGTTCTTCCTGTATAGGATAGTTATGTATGGGGACTAAGGTCTGGTAGGGTTCTAAGTATACTCAGCTTCCATTAAAAAGAAATTTGATAACTTTTTTTTTTCTAATTGCAGGCTTCTTACCAAGAGCTGCTTAAAAAAGTTTTGGATGTCTTCAAACCTGGCAAGTTTCTGATGACTGTCTTTGCTAACACTGTAAGTCTTTTGTTTTTTTTAGATAATATATTATTTATTATGAGTTACATCATTTAAAACTGTAAGGATGTAAAAAAAACATTTACAACATATTAATTGAATCTTCAACTCTTTCTCTCCTAATCGACGATACCATCTTTTATTTGACCTTATTAAAATTAAATTCATGTTTAATTTTATAAAAATGACTTTGTTATATAAAAAGAGCATGCATTTCACACATGCTTCTAATTCTATACCAGATACATTTTCAGATAAAAAACAACAAAACTATTGAAGCTTAATCACAACAGGGTAGTGAAATAGTAATGAGCAAAACGAAGAATTCCTTCGAAATGTTGAAAAATAATTACGGAGAGAAAGAGTTAATCAAATTTAACAAAAATATTGTAAAAGCAAAAATAACATCTTATGAGTTTATCTTGAAGCCTGTTGAATTTATAAAATGCCAATTTCCTGTTTTAGTATTATTATACTAATGGTATGTACGGTACACATATGAGCCAAACTATGTGATTTTGTCCATTCATAGGCTTCTATTGCTAAAGACACCCACAGACACATGGAACATTTGGATACTATTGAAGGCTACATGAGAAGTGACCACCAGTTTTGCAGTCTCAAAAACTACTACTTGACCTACACACAGTTCTCTCGTCCAGTTATTTAGGAGACCGTGTGCAGGGGCCTTGTAAGGGTGCGTCATTGTAGCCAACAAGTTAGAGGGAGGATGTGTGAAAGAAACCATTTGGCTTGCTGTGTACGTTATAGAGCTCCTTCCCTGTTGAAGACGCACTCAAGGCCTGCCTGCACACCATTCAAGAGGCTAGTTAGTTCTGATTCTAGATATTCTTATTCACCTTTTAACTTTGCTCGATGTTTTTCCTATTTCTCTCGTGTGTGTCCTCGCTTTGTTTTTCGTTTTTGTTTGCGCTGTCAGATTTTTGTGTGGCGTTCTCGTAAAGGGAGAAAGAAGCTGAGTGTTAGGAAGGGTTACATTGTCAGGAAGCCTAAATAATATTTTTAAAGGGGAAGCCTTCATTGGTGTGTTCAAATCTTTGTCGAAAACCCCTATTCGACTGAATGTCAAACCTACCACCAGAGGCAGGCATGGAATGAAAGCAAAGCACTGGACAAGATTTGACTGGTTTGTCAGGAAATGTTGCAGTTTTTTTCTACTATTAGTGGCTTTTATCAATTTCAACAGCATTTTTTTTAAACTGCTGATGAGCTATCACACTCTTTGTTGAAATCTTCAATAATGATCTTTCTTCTATTTAATAATGCCACAAAAAATTTTTTTTACTATTTTAAACTTTGTATTTAACAATTTCCCTTAAAGAGAAAAAAAGAAAGAAATTCGCGTTACCCTGATGTTATTTGAAATTATTTAGAAACTGAAACAAAACTGAAGGTCAGGTTTATATTTAAAATAATCTAAGAGGAAGATCAGTAAAGTGTTTTTTGAATGTAAACTAACATTTTTTTTAGTAGTGAGCTATATAGAAAAGCAGCATTATAATGCTGACATATTAGGAACTAATCATGTTGAAGATTTATTGTCAGTGATTAATTTAATAACTTCACTTCAAAAAAATAAATCCAGCATTGTCCATCCATATCCTTGTCAGTTCTAACTTAAGGATTCTTTTTGTTTTGAGAATTTAATGAACTAAATCTGAAGAAGAGATGTTTCTTCCACTTTTCATCTGACATAGTGTGTGATAGCCGAGTTTCTATTTAAGATTTTATACAGTGCACGCTATTTTTGAAATAGCATAGATATTTTTTTCTCCACATTTTTCTACCAGTCCTATACTTAATGACTCAGTTTGAAAGATTGCAACATTATTGACATTCATTTGTCCAACTAAAGATGTTTTGTTTTCTAACAAGTTTCCATTCATAAGCATGTGAATGGCTTATACAGTTACATCCCTAGTATTACCAGCAGAAGTGAAAAAAGTTATTTTCCTTATTAAGGGATACAACATTGAACTAAACTAGATTCAAGACCATCTGCCAGATTGTCTAAACTGTCTGGTAACTATGTTGTCTTGACAGAACCCTGTTATTTCAGTGTGACACCCTTGCTCATAGTGTCACAATGCGACAATTTTTTTTATTTATGTCAATGTTTTGTCTATGTTTTGTTCATCTGTAGTGAAACATTATTCCGAGTTTGGACTTGTTATAATTTTTTGTTTTAAATATCAAGTCAAGTTAGCTTTACTTAGTCAATTATAATTTATTTCTTTTTTCATTCAATGGTTTTATTGTTTTTGAAAGCCTGAAAAGTTTTATTTTTGCAAGTTTAAATATTATATTTAATGTGCAATCTCAATTTTAAAGGTTCTATGCAAATTTTCAATTTTTTTGCTTTTGAAAAGGAAAAAAAAATTGAAAATGGCAATTTGACAGCATTAAATGTATTTATCAGTTGTGAAGTTTAGGCCATATACACCTTGGATCCAAATTTACTATTTTGATCTGATGCTAAAAGATAAAATTCAATTGGGCATTTTTATTTGACTTTTGTATACAACTATCTTGATCTATTTATCTTGATCAAATGTATTTTTATTTGGTGATTTCATATTAGATCCATTACATTGGTTTGAATTTTAAATTTTCTATTCATTATTTTGCACATGATATTAGTGTCCTGGGCATTATATGCTCAAAGAAAATCAATTAACTTTTTTTTTGTTTTTGAGTTGGACCTCACATTCTGTATAGCTTAGCAACATCAATCTCTTAATAGTGGGGTCACCATTCTATAACTCTTTGTCTATGTACCAGACATTCTACCAAAGGAGTCAACTCTTATTTAGCCCAACTTTGGTATCATCTTCGTTTAAGAAAAACAATCTTGTGTACCCCAAGCATATTGTGACAAAAGAAAATGTCCTAACAAAGTTGTTATGACCTGCTTCATTTCATTTTCCTTTTTATTATATCCTGTAAATGATTTTTGTTTTAGCATTTAAATTTGTTTTTAAAAAGGTTTCATAAAACATTTATCTATTACCGCTGTTTCCTATAACATGTTCAGCTTTCTCTAGATCAACTCTATTTTTGATACTCTCACATTGTGCAGCACACAGCACATCAATTTTAAAAGAATGAACTAGTCAATTAAAACTTCCAAAGATACATTTGAAATCTGTTTTGATGTGAAAACTTTGTTGTTTGGTACTCCATTTTGAATTTGTTGACAAAAGGCGACTGAAGTAAACAAATAGCTCTGAAATGTTTTTTCAATGTTTATGTCTGTCCATGCAGACATGCAGCTATTGTGTGTGTATGTGTGATACATTTTTATTGAACCATTAAGAAGTGAAATGTGTTTAGCATGTTAGTCTAAGGTGTTTCTATTTTATTTTTGTTCAGCACATATTTTGGTTGTGGGATTATTGCTTAATGTACACTTTGCTATTAGATATATATTTTGCCTTGTGTGTAGTAGCGTACTCCATTTTTTTTGTTTATTAAAATACAATATCTCAACTAATTTTTTTTTTATGTCTTACTGGGTACTTAGAATGTTTTTGTTTTTTTTTTTTTTGGCGTGGTTATGTCCAAGACTTACAAGATGGTTTGCCTCACTTAAGCTCTGATTTATTAAGCACTTCAAAAGTTAACTTTTCTTTCTACTTAGAAATCTTTCTTAAAATTATTAATCTTACTGGTGGGAGATAAGTGTTGAATTGAAATACAAAAACTCCACAAGAACTCTTTTTCGTTCAGGAATTGTAATAAATATCTCTATTGAGTCAACAAAGCAGTGTAATGCTTTTCCTCCCTGGGACCTGAGTTCTCCCTCACCTATAAGAAAAAACATCGAAAGTGTAACAAAAAAATATCTGATCACAACCAAACAGAGCTCAAGGAATTAGTGAACTCATTTTCTAAGAACACATTACCCCAACAACTAATGGGTCAGAGTCTACACAGATGGATCCTCCCTAAAATCCAATACAAATGGAGGAACTGGCATACTAATGGAGAAAAACTGGAAAAAACTGGTGATCTCTCAGACAGCCATAGAACAGAAAGGCAAGCACTAATGAACTGTACACCAAACAGCCATATTGTCTTACTGACCAATGCCAAAGCAGTCCTTCAAAGCCTGAAAAACTCTGATAATTCCTATAAAAAGCAACTCAAACCCCTTGTAAACCTTAACATCAACAGCAAAGAAACAGTTCTTCAATGGATTCCAGCATACATTGAATTAGAAAGCAATGAAAAAGTAGCCAAAGATGGAAGAATGAACAAACAAATATGAAAATCCCACTCTACCCAGAAGAAATAATGAAATAATAGAGTAGAATCAATGAGAATTGGACCAGCTTACATCCCAAGTACAAGAAAAAGGACGCCTATTATAAGCTATCTCAACATGACCAACACATAATTTTTCGACTCAGAACTGGACACAACAGAATGAAACAACATATGTTCCCATAGTTTAAAAGTCAGGACAAGCGAAACCTGCCCTTGTGGAGCATCATCAGAGAATGCTGACCATGCCCTTCAAAGCTTCATACTATAGCAAGAGGACCGAACAAAACTCTGGCCCCTAAAACCATCCTATAGAACAATAACTATACAGAGAACTGACTGATTTGGAAACCACTGTGCAGTTCATCTCAGATATAGGATTGCTCATCTGAACTCCCAAACGTAAAATGAGAACGAAGAAGAAATACTTTGGTAGCTTTCAGACTTCAAAATGTCTTGAGCTGGAGCAAGTTTGATTTTAATTCTAAGGATATATTTTAAGGTGTATAATTCAATTGACCTTTTTTTTAAAACAATAAGTAGACACAAGTTTGTATTTGACTTCTACAGCATGTACATTTTTGAACTAAGCAATTTATTCCCTCATATTAGCCTCGCTATATAAAGATTTCCATTTTATGTAATGTAAATCAATTCTACACTGCAAGGGTGCTTGCATCTATAACAGTTCTGGCTAAGCAATATCAGATAATTGAAAACATAACATAGTATTCCAAATCATTAAATAATTACTATACTACTATATTACTAATTGATTACATATGCATGGTGCATTACTCTTTATTTCATACCATCTAATTTTTTTCTTGATGACTGGAATCTCATAATGAAGCACATTGAAAATTATTACACACACCCTATTCTTAAATTTAAGAGCTATATCTCTAGGATGAATCAAGTTTATTCCTGAACAAGCATTTGAAACATTAAATACAGTTCTAAAGGAAATGCAATAAAAACTGTCTACATCGACAACACACATGTACAATGAGATAATTTAGAATACTGGTACTATTAGACTTAGTAATACATTATGTACAGCAGAGAAACCTCAGCAAGAGCAACACAATGTCTGGGATAAAACAAAAAAGTCCTAAATTAGTTACACATAATGTCTGTGTTAGCAGGAGAAAAAAAGCAAGGCAAATGACATAAGCTCCAGCTGAATAACCTGCCCAATGTGCAGCCAAAAATTCCAGGCTCACATAGGTCTCACCAGCCACGAGGAGGCACAAAGCACTCAGCCCCTGAATGACAAAAGTGGTCATCATCGAACCATGATGGACAAACTATATAATAATAAATATGTCTTGTCAAAAGGATGAATGCAGGTATGTTTTTAAGCTTATTTCACAGCAAGTTTTGCAAGAACACAAGTCTTTAAAATAATACACACCCTTAATAGGTGGAGCCTATGGCATAGTGCGTTCATTTATTAGCCAATGATGTGTAGACAGATATGGGGGACATCTGCTTAAAAAAAAACAAAAGACATTTGATTTTTTAAGTTTAACGTATCATTTTTTTTCTGTTATAATGTAAATCAAAATTAATTTGAATGAATATAAAAGAAATAAAATATCACAGATAACTGCTCCACTTCAGTGACAAGTCAGCTCATTCTGGTAAAAGATCTTCTCCCAATTCTTCATCACCAAAATCATCTTCTAAGGCACCTTTCCTTCGAGCAGCAGTTTTAGGTCGTTCTGCCTGAGGTCCCAAAGGATCAGAATAAGAAGCATCTAGAGGAAAATAACATGACAAAGTATTATGCAGGTTGCTCTTATTTTAAGTGTTCAAAATGTCAATCTTTTTTTCACATAACAAAACACTGAAACAAAAACAACATTAAAAGTTACAGTACAAACCCTAATCCATTACAATAATGAGCTGATAGAAGTTGTTCATATAAAGAATACTATAGACCAATTAGTTGATAGTAGTTCTAAGATTTTTATATCCACACATGACTATGACTTTGTACCCTAGGGCAGGGGTCGGCAACCTTTTGAGTCGGAAGAGCCAAAAATTAAAATTTACAGAATTTTAAAGTTCTAAATAGCCACATTTTTTTTCTTACCAACACTTATAATAGTACTCACACAATATTTAATGAAAAAAAAAATGAATATAATTCATTTATAATTAATGTTTTTCACTATAAATTAGATATTATACATTTTTTTTATTTCGGTAACAACTAAAACAATTAAACATTTACTTACACCACTAATTTGTACTTCACTAACAAACAATTGAGCAAACAAATTCAGTGGGAGCAATGGCTTTGCATGGTTTTAGAAAGTTTGGATAAATTTCCTCCATAACTTATTTTTAGTTTCAAACATGACTCTTAATTTTCATTTGTTAGTTGGCATCTTACTTTTCAGTTATATTCATACAAGAGAACACTTGCTTGCATGAATATGTTGATTCAAAGAAAGTCAGTACTCCAAATGCCAACTTCTTCAACCTACTGTAGCATTTTGGAAAATTATTCTGTGCGTCGAATCAACTCGCGGCATTCCTTTTAAAGCTGTTCACTTTTGTTGCATAAAATTCTCGACCTTCATCCAACTTGATTTTCAACTCTGTAAATTTTCCACCCCACAAAACTTTACTTTTAAAATCGATCAATGGCATTTCTAGAGATCTAGTATCAATTTCAAACGCATCAATGTGGATTGTGTTACTATTTGTGTTGAGAGGATTTACTCTGAATGCTAGAATGGTTTTGTTAATTTTGAATTGCTCAAATCTATCAAGAAATTCATCTTTGATTTTTTTTATAACTGTGTTAAAGTAATTCATTTCAAAGTTGCACTGACTTTATTGCAATACTGCTTTAGACATTGAAAATGAAGTAACTTACTGCTCTGTTATATCAACCTTAAAGTAATTTTTTTTTGCAAATATTTGTCATTCTCTAATTATGGGTGATTAATGCCTTTTTCATTTAGGAATATATTTATTTCATTCAATCACAAAGCAAGACATTTCAGCCATTGAACTTTATTGGGAAGGAGGAGCTTGGAATACTGAGTCTCCATTTATGTCTTTAAAACTGACAATGGTAAAGTGTTTTTGACAAGATGATGTTAACAATATTGATTACCAAATTTATGGCCTCAACTATCTCGGCTGGAATGGTGTATTATTCAGTGAAACGTAAGAATTTTGTGGTTTATTTTGCTCTGAAGAATCGTATTTGCCCCTTTATTTTTTCCTGTCATATTTCTGGCTCCATCAGTTTGCATTTAAACGATTTTATTTCAATTGATTTTAATGTCTTCAAGGTATTGCATTCGTTATATCCTCACCTCTAGTTTGTTATGAGAACGGTATCAAACCGAGAAGTGCCTCCTTGGAAAGACATATACCTGACAAAAAGGGCAACTTGTGTTGTGTCTTTTATGTTGCAAGACTCATTTATAGCAAGTGATAGGGCAAAAGAAAGTTGAATATCTTCCACCTGCAAATATGTGACATTTGAAGACATTTTAGCCAATCTATCTTGTACTGTTTCAAAACAGATAGTGGCAAATCTTTGATTTTTTTCCCCAAAATTTCTGGTTTGTTTTGAAATCACGAAACAGTTCTTCAGATGTACGTAGGAAGCAGTCTTTGACATACTCATCATCTGTAAATGGTTTGCCTTTTTATGCAATTTCTAGTGGTACTGCAAAGCTTGCCATATTAGCATTACTTGTAGATTGCTTCTAAGTTTGAGAAGATAATCACTTCTAACTCATTTACTTGTTGTTTCAACGAACTATACCTTACAGCCAAAGCACATGGTGAAGATGCCAATTCGTCCTGCGTCAAAAGTGAATTAAAACCTGCATAGAAACATCAGACGAAGGACTGACAACAGTGAAGGCGCTTGAAATGGGAGAGGGGTGTGGTGAAAAGTGTGTACAAGTGGCTCAGAGATAGAATCGCCGCCTATTTTTGTTAAACAATGCAGAACTATTTTTAAAAATGTTTCGATAAAATAAATAATATTTGCGTGTGGAACTGAAGATAAACAATGCAGAACTATTTAAAAAATGTTTCGATAAAATAAATAATATTTGCGTGTGGAACTGAAAAGCCGCAGCTTCACATCCAAAGAGATGCATGTGGCTCGCGATCCGCAGGTTGTCGACCCTCAGCCCTAGGGAACACTTAATACTGGCTATGAACAACTTCTATGAGCTCACTCTTG